TTTTTTTCTTTAGTGGCTGCTACTTAAGATTATTTTGAAACATGATATTTTGAAACTTGCTATTATTGTTGATGTTTATTATGATTGTTGCTTCTAAGCGTTACAAGAGGGGCGCCGATAGGAAAGTTGTTTGTTTCACTTTGGTTAAGTGGGAAGCCTAACATTTGAGGTTGGTGAAATCCCGTACCGAGCTCGCTGGTTGAAATCTGAACGGTTCAGTGCTAAAATCTGTGACCCCCTCCGTAAGTTGCTTAGAAATGCTAAGATTCCGTAAGATAAAACCGTCATTTGCTGGTTAAATTTTCCAGCATCTAAAGATGCTGGTCAAATTCCCGCGGCGCTGCAAGCGGCATCCCCAAACGCCCTGAGATCAGCGCCTGCGAAGCAAAGTTGGGACCGTTGTTTGAGATGATAACAAATGGTTGGTGGTGACTGGAACAATAATAGTGGTTTCCCAATATAGTGGTTAATAGTGGTTAACAACGGTTAATACTGGTTAATGATATGCCATAATTATCATTAATATCAACCAATATTAACCTGGTTGGTGGTGACTGGAACCATGGAATTTTTAATGACTTTCCCATTCAGTTCGGAATGGAATAATGATCCCAACTGACGAACTCCATCATTTTTCAGAGGGGTAGGTCAACCACCAACCAGTATACCATTGAAATAGATCTCAGTCAAGCTAGTGAAATAGACCTACAGAAACCAATTGCTGACCCTTCTAGTGATGGGGTTGTTTGCGATTGGCAAACTTAAGTTGAGCAGTATTCAAAACCCTCTGTTATTCTTTAATTAATGTTTGGTTGGAACGTTTGGAACGGGATTCCCATTGTGGGTCAGTTCATAATCTCCAATACACCAGGTAGGTGAATAACTCGCGTGTTCATCCTAAACCAACCATTATTTATCAAATAATTAGATCCCCAATGATCCCACATGTTTTATAATTGATGAACAAAACACATCAGATTGTTGGCGTTGTATCAGTAATATAATATAATATATGCATATCTTTGTATTGTATCCCCATGTTTGCTGAAAATCCCTACAATACCTCATCAACAATGCTTCAATTAGTATCGTCGGATGAGCCGGATGAATAATCCTTTGAAAAAATGAATGAAGATACTATTTAGTGTAATTGACCCTGGGCCCCACAGGAAGGCCCCCCCGGTTATAAGTTTGTTTATGACCCCTTCTAACTAGTTCGATATATCCATGAAGCAAACCCCATCTAACCGAGTGAAATAATCTCAGGGGCCCCCTGCTGTGTGTTATGATGATTGATAATGAGATATGGCCCAAAAAAAAACATTGGTTAACCAATCATCATTGTCCTTATCAAACTGGCAATCACTGGGGAGGTATAGCTTAATAACCCCCCGTAAAAAAAACATGAAACAAACTGATAGTGCTTTCAGTTCATAACCCTACATATATATATATATAATCCCCAAAAAACAACATTCAGAACATCAATAAACAATATGAATTGGGACTTGATAACCCCATCTAACTCCCATGGTCACATCAATGGCCATATTTTGCAGCCGACCGCTGCTTCCGTGGGGGATGACCCCGGCCTCGATCTCAGGACGCCACGCTGCTCCTGGCGGCTGCGGCGCACCTGGCCTCGGATGAAGCCGCACCGGTGCCTCGGCATTCGTGGAGGGATGGCATATCCCAACTTGATGGAGGCTACCCTCTGGTAAACTAACATAACTATGGAAAATCACCATTTATAGTGAGTTTTCCCATGAAAAATGGTGATTTTCCATAGTTATGTTAGTTTACCAGAGGGTAATCCTATGATAGTTATACCCAATAGTTAGAATAGAATACAGTAATCATCAAAAAAATATTGGGGATCATTGGGGATTAAATAATATCTATCGTATATAATCTTGTCTATCTTATATATCCGGTCTCTCAAAAAAAGGTGGGATTCTCTGTTGGCATCAGTTTTTATCTATAACGGTCCTTACTGATGAGGTTATTTTTGAGAAACAACAAACCATCAAAGAAAGAGCACCCTATGTTAAGACTGTGTAGAGAATCACCACTCTTTTGATGTGGACGGTACCAACTGAGCACCACAGGACGATTTCAACATGTTTGTATTCTCATCCTACCTTTATGAATCATTTGAATCCCTTTTATATAAGAATGGTTGACCCGTTTTCCCAAATGAGGTTCGGTACGGATGTTCCGTACAGATGTTCAACATTGTTATGGAGTTTCCGATGTTTCCGTGTCCGCAATTACGGAATTTCCGTACGCTGTTTTGGTACTTACAGTCCGTAGAGATCAATCAGGGAACGATGGGGTCTACCCCCCAAGCCTTTGCCTCGTGGAGACTCCTTGGAAATTGCCGCGACATGGCTGCTTGAATGGTTAGATATTGGAAACCTGGAATATTTATCTGGGTACCTCACTGCGACCTCACTGGAATCATGGTTAATAAGGGAAATCATCCCCAAATGGCCTTAATTCAGGTTAGTGAAATATTATAATTTACCCAGATTTATCATTTATCATTGTTTATCTGGACTCAAAACTGGGGCTATGAAGGGACATCAAGGGGGTATGACCTAGCGGCATAGTCAACCACTGATTGGCATGTGAATGCAGCTGCCCCATTCTAAATACTCGATATATATATATACTTTGCTATCATCGTAGTAGCGTTAACATAGCTTTTGGAGTTTCCAGGTCAGAACTGACAAAACCTGGTGATCAGAGCATGGCTGGATTTGACTTCATTAACAAATACCATCACAAGTGGTGATCGGAGCATGGCTGGACTTGATCCCATCGAAGTATACATATCGAAATGAATTATCAGATTGTGATACGATTTTATGTTTTCAATTTGATTTTACCCCAACATCGTGATCATTTGATGTTTTCAATATGATTTTACCTCAACATTGTGATGCATTTGATCAAGCCGGATTAAATAATGATACGATTTGATGTCAAAAAGATATTTAGCATTTCATCATTTGATGAAAGAACCCTGGGCTACTCCTAACGGGGCTATTCATAAAACTTGCTATCCTTTCCACAAAAAACGAGACAATTCCAGGAAAAAAACATAAAAACATCTAAAAAGTCAAAAAAAAATATTCAAAAATCAAAAAAAAATAAAAAAATGGAAAAACTGCAAAAAAACGGTAAAAAACACGAGAAAAAGAAAGCGGGAGTGAAGCGGGAGTGAAGCGGGAGCGAAGCGGGAGCGAAGCGGGAGCGAAGCGGCAGGCAAGAAAACCATGGAAAACCGTGAAAAAACGTTGAAATCATCGAATCCGCTTCGTTCCGGCTCCGTTCCCGCTTCAAGCCCGTGGAGTCTTAACGCTACCATGATCATTTCAATGTCTAGGTGCCAAGGGTTGTTGCCACGGAAAAATCACCAGAAAACACGCGTCGTGTATCAAGGTCAATTTACGCACCAAAAAATTCACCAAGTTGTTGCCACCAAAAAATCACCATGAAACCCGAGGAGTGTTAACGCTACCATGATCATTCCAATATATACTTATATATACATATATATATACATATATATATATATACATATATATATACATATATATATAGTTATATATACATATATATAAAATTATATATAATTATATATATATATGTATTATGATAATATGATACGAAATGCATGCTACCCTTTGGCAATTTGACATCTCCATTGAAGCCATGGCCCACGGCCAGTTCGATGATGTCGTCTCACTTCGCTGTGATTCACCAGGTTTTGGAACATCGCCATGAAATGGCAATAGGGAACACCAGGTTTAATGGGATGTTTAATGGGGCTTTAATGGGATGAAATTCCCCTTTGAATTGGCATGTGTGTTCCCTATTGCATCCCATTAAAGCCCCATTAAACATCCCATTGTGATGGCCCATTGAAATTACCGGGCAGACAGCCTGCCTCTGAGGTGCCACGCAACATGTCCCTTCGCATGGATGTGACGGTGCCCGGCATGCGATATCGATTGAGCTTCGGTACGAGGGCGTCATGTTGATGAGTTGGGATGGTATGAGGATGGTATAGATGGTGGGGGGTTATTGCCATAATTAATGGTCATAGATTATGGAGACCTCATGAGCATCTAATTGGAGATACTACTATTAGCTACTTGGATGTGGGAGTCAGGAATCGGTTCAGGTGAGCAATACCCACATAAAAAGCCAGGTACTAACAGATTTGTGGGGTGGGATCTCATTGATATACAGCAGTCATATATATACGTATATAGATAGATCGATAGATAGATAGATAGATGGATGGATGGATGGATCGATAGATAGATAGATAGATAATTAGTTATGAACCACTAGTACTGGGATGCACCCCCTAGATGACCTGTTGGGGATGGGGTTTCAACGGCTCTTCGGCTAGGGGTTTGTTTGAAAATAGGGGGCAGTATGATCGAAGGATGGGAGAACTACTGTATCAAAGGTGTCGCTTGTTGGCTCAGAAAAAGTGTGTTTAGTCTATTCACCTAGCATTTTGTAGAAAAAATACATCTAGCCATTTAAAATTTACTTATTCACCATCATTCTGGACTCTGGATGCTTCAACCTCCGCAGAAACCAGGCAAACACGCCATCATTCCAGCTTTCCGCCAAGGAGACCCTTGAAGGTCTGCCGCACCTGTTTCAACACCTACCAGGTCATCAGCCAGGCGCGTTTTATGCATGGAAATATCATGGAAATATATTGGAAATATCATAACATGTAATGGTTAACCAGGGTTTATGGAGGATATAACTACAGGTAGTGGATTTATAAACCAACTTATAAGTAGACCCTCACCTTGTATATGTATGGGGATGCACTGGGATTTATAACCAACACTGCAAATTTTGAGGAAAATTATGATAAACCATAATACACCATGGTATTCGGTGGTCCCTCATTTTCACACAAACCCACAGGACAAATATTTGAAAAGGGCCGGAAGTCTCCGGAAGTCAGATGTCCAGGCGTTTTGCCTCCGGTACTCAAACGTGACAATGGGCAATGGCCATTTTTGGTAGGAATCTTATTTTTAGGTGGATGCACATATGAGATTCCATTACCAGAGGCTATGATGGATCATCAAAGTTTCCATAAAGCTACCAGTCTTTCTGGTTTCTTTAGAAGCAAATTTGGTCAAGTCTATTCCCCTGCTTCTTGCAGTGCTGGTTCATTCAAACTTCTGGAGGGTTGCCGCAGCAAACATGCGCGATTTATCGTTAAAATTTATTGGATACATGTGTTGTTTCCTATCATTTAATGGTGATATTACCCATAGCTGCAGAGAAAATTGGCTTTAAGCGCAGTGATGTTGAAAATATGTGGAATGTAACATTGATCTGTATCTATAAATGGAGGTTTCCTAAAATAGGATGAATAGGGGTACCCCCTTTTTTCATCCGTTTTATTTTCGGATTGTCCATTATAAACCATCTAGATATTGGGACACCCTATGGCAACCCCCATCAGGCCGCCCGTCCCATTCTCCGATAGTAGGTGATCACATTGGTGCGGCACCAGCGCAAAGATCTGTGGGCCAAAGCAGAGCTGGAACGTTTGAAGCGCCACGACGAGAAGGTGGCCGTTTTTTTTCCGTGAAGGAAAAACAGAATGGAAAGGATGCGACTAAAAAGCGACCGAAAAACTAGCTGAACTATGCTGAACAGGGGAAATTCATCATGAACCATCATGGACCAAATGGAAAAACATATTGAACACACTGGGAAAACTCATGGAAAAGATTTGAGTTTGACTGTTTCAAGTGGGGGGACAGGGATGGGATCTCAATATATCTCAATGATGAAGCGAGCCATGGGCAAATATGATAGGTGATATGAGGATATATATGATATATGAATGTGTTTTTGTGTTTCGAACGTAAGACGTATGTATGTCATAAATATATATATATATGAAAACTGATAACATGGTATTGAAGAATTCATATGAACAAGATTTGAACAAAATTGAAACCATAGACTTATAAAGGGAATGGATCAGAATTCACGACCCAGGATATTTTACTGTATCGACTGACGGACTGAGATATCCATACTTGGAGCACCCTTTTTGAAAAATGATGAAACATGAGATGTTCAGCTGAAATAAACCAGAAATTGGCCTGATAGATGGGATGTCAACTAGAAACATGGGATGGATGTCAAGCTGCAACATTTTTGTTTTTTACAAGAAGGATATGGGTTTTAAAAAAGCAAAAAGTCACCATGACATTGGATCTTACCCGTTAAGTCTTGCAGAAACACTGGGAAAAAACTGTAGATATATCCTACTGGTCGATCTGGTCGATCATGATGGCTTTCTGACCTCGTGGAAGATCATGAGGGAACTTCCACGCGACGCGACCTGTCGTATTAAAGGCAAGTTTTGGTTCTGCAGGTGATGGTATACTCTATTGCAGAAGATCTTACAAAGATGACCCCCAAGATATGTTTAGATATAACCCAGACATAACTATGATATGATAGCCTGAATATGAATCAATGAATATCAGAACTTTGTGACTCAAGGTATCTAAAATTGACCAATCAAAACGGGCCAGAGCCTGAAACCATTTCAGACTTGCAGACCTTGGTCTGACCCCCCACATTGTAGCCTAGCCGCCCCGGAAGAGGATGGGTGTTCACCGGTGCGTCACTAGATCATCTGAAGGCTGAAATCCTGACGTTTCAAACGGCTCCTCTCTCCATCGCAATGGAAATTTGACCATACGATCTGGGTAAATCATGGTTAGTAAGGGAAATCATCCCCAAATGGCCTTAATTCAGGTTAGTGAATTATTATAATTTGCCCAGATACGATGAGTATTTGTGTTTAGACGAGTCAGACTCACAATATTCGCTTGTGAATATGATTCCCATTCAGCTAACCATTCCTGTTGATGAAATTCAACCCCTAACATGTTTGCTGCTCAAATTCCCAAATCTTACCGGTTCACGTTCCACCCTATTTATTGCGAGGAAAAGGAGCTGGCACAAGACGCTTACATCCAGCGGGTCATTGGCGATCCAGCTCCTCGCCAACTGGGTCAAGTGGGATGCACGATTACCCTCCGGTAAACTGACATAGCTATTGAAAATGGCCCAACTAAATAGTTGATATACCCAGCTATAAAATGGTGATTTTCTATAGTTATGTTAGTTTACCAGAGGGTACACCATATTATACCATATCTCACTGAAAAGCGACTCTTAAAAGCAGAGTCACCCATTTCTCTTGGGTCTAAATGCCACTGTTGGATACTCTTGGTTTATTTGGTTTCAACACCAAAATCACTTTCATGTTACAGATAGCATTTTAGTTTCTCCATTGGTTCACTACAACTTACAACTATGGTCCCTGACGTCAACCCCGGGTTAATGACTTTCTAGGCTGTTTGATTAGGGGGGTCACTTTAAATCATTGTAGTAGCAAACTAATTACATCTAATTACCACATTACAGCACTTTGAACGCCCCACTAAATGGTATCGTTAAAAATGGCTCTAAATCACTAAAATGGTATCATCATGTATCATATATCATCACTATAGTTTTTGCTCCCCCACTTACTACAACGCCCCTGTCGTTTGGTCATCTCTCCTGGCTTCACAAAGGAGGAGCGCGCGGCGCGTGCGGCGCAGATGGGGCGCTGTCCGCCGCCGCCCTGTCTGCCGAGGGAAAGTCTGATTTTTGACCACGAGGCGCCACAAAGTGATGCCCCGCAGTTAGAAGTTGGTTTATAAACCCTCTTAACATCTCTTAACTATTTATATATATATATATACATACATATCCACCGTAAACCCTAATTCTGCTTAGTTATGGACCAACTTAGATCAGAAGGCATAAACCTGGCTAGGAGAGGAAACTGCCCAATATCTACTTGTATAAGTATGTATATATATATATATATATATTCATTACACTTATATACATATATATATATATACATATATGTATATATATATACATATATATACATATATACACATACATGCACATATTTATAGCATATACTGAGCCAATATGTTGCAGCATTTTACAAATCATGAAAATCGCCCACCTGAATTTTGTGGGCACTTGGTTACGTTCCATTCTTTTTTTTAATAGCTGAATTCCCATCCTTGTTGGGCTACGAATTCACCACATCGAGAATATGGAATTCCTTGTCGATGGCTGTACGAGATATAGGCTTAGAACCTGACTGGTTCTGGGGATTATCATAATCCATCGGGTAATCATGGGAATCCCGCCCAACTATCAATCATTATAGAATAGCACCATTGTGGGTACAATGATGTACAATCACATGTTTTTCTGGGTGAAATTACCCTCCGGTAATTTAACATAGCTATTGAAAATGGCCATAGAAATAGTTGATTTACCCACTAATAGCATGGTGATTTTCAACAGCAAACCTTCAGTTTACCAGAGGTTAAACCTCCATTAATCACCATTAGATCCCACTAGATCACCATGAAAAATCACCATCACCAGTGTACCGGCCATAGAAATAGTTGATTTACCCACGAATAGCATGGTGATGTTCAACAGCTATGTTCGTTGACCCACGAGGGTCCCATTTTTTGCTCCGAAAATCTCCTGTCGAGGTCACCCAATGGATGCGCGACATCCCGGACTCGCCCAGCACCAGCGAGATGATGAAGAACCTCTGGCGCAAGGCGGAGGCCAACGAAGAATGGGATCAACGGGACGAAGAATGGTGATTTAAAATGAGTTAAAGCCATGAAAACGGGAGTATCTCACAGTTCAGTGATCAGGGATTTTAGATCTAAGCCACTAGAATCAACAAGAATGGTGACTATAAACCATAAACAAATTGCGAGTTCAGTCGTAAGAATGTGCATTTGAGCCACAAGAATGGGGATTGAACCAAGAAAAATGCTCATTTAAACCAGCAAAAATGGGGTGTTATCTGATATGTTTTGAGTAAATCGACTGATGATGGGTAGTTAGTTTATGTTAGTTTAGTACAACTATGGACAACTCAATCTTTTGCAGATGGGGATATTTGCTAACCAGCTAAACATTTGCAGGGTAGCCAAGATTGAATAGTTCAAGAAAAAACATTCTGGATGTTAAATCTTGGTGAACGCTTGCTTCATGGGTGCATGTTTGGCAAAAAAAACGGAAGGGTTCATAATCCTGTTTTAAGAAATGGAAGGTTATCACCGTATCACCGATGAGCGATAGCTTAGCCATATATTAGCCATTCATTAGCAATCTTATGATGTCAAGAGAAATAGCCTATTTGACTGGATGATGGCCCCTATACCGAAGATTTTGACAGGTGGATGATTGATCAATTCGTGGCGACAGATCCAGCTAGCTTTAGCGGCTACCCCAGTCCCCAATGATGTAGTGGCGAGCACTCAGCCCTTCAGTTGGACCATCATGCTAGTATGCTAGTTACTTATTAGAATCAATATATAGAAATGCCATTTTCATTAGTATCCATTGGTTGTGCATCACTGGAATAGATGTTGGCAAGTAGCCCAGTAACCATCCATACACGTCTAACTGTTAGTTTATTGCCACTGGCCTTGATGCGCCGTGATTTTTTTTTGGATCAAATCCCGGAATAAAAAAAAGGAAAAATGCCAACAACGTCACGGGTGTTCACTAATATAGCTATGGAAATCCCAGGTGAAATCCCCGTTCAGAAATAATCTGAGTTTACTGGAGGGTAAATCCGCATTCATTGTCTTTGCTCCATCGTTTTATCAAGTTTATATCCCATAGATGGTCCTTAAACACCTATATAGTATATGATACTGTATCATTACTGTATCATATCCTAATTTTATATCCAGACAAAATATCCAAGTGTATCCCATGAATTTTCACTAGCTTCGAAGAAAAGTCCACGTCCACGTCCGGCGAATTGGTCCAGGAGCCTCACTCAGAAGAACTGCTCGAGGCACCGCCCAGTTCACCAGAGCCGAATCGGCGGAGGCGTGGATTTCCAGCCAAGCAGAATGAGGATCAAAGATGATCAAACAAGAAGGATATAGAATTCTATTAAGGATACTTAAAATGGGTGGTTGAACTAGAAATTTGTAAAATGATATTCAGGGTTGCTCCCACTGTAGGTACATTGTAGATGCATGATAGGCATTTTGTTGGGTGGACAATTGGTAGTTTCACTTTTTTCACTGCCCATTCCCCCTCCCTTATGTCTGGGTCGCAAGGAGAGCCGTCCTGGGCCTTTGACAGGTGCCTTCATGGAGCCAAACGTCGTTGTGGGCAAGTGATGGTTGTTTAGTGAAGCTGTTCACAATAGTTCAATTGTTGAGGCTTTCAGCCATGTTGATAGAGAGAAGGTTATATCCCGCTCGAGATCGACTCGTCTTTAAGCATCTATGGGTAGTCGTGTTCATGCCGCTTGTTCACTGTCGCTATGAGGGGGATATACCTAAAGGGCGAGTTCATGGTTTGATTTTGTGAAGGTCAAGGGTTAACCCCCTAACAAAGTAGTGAGATGAACCAGCTGTGGTGGGGTGCTTCAGAGCACGGTCGGAAAGCAAGATTAGGACGATGAAGATTTGGCAGACAGACCTTTTGCCAACTCCAATGGCATTGTGGTGGTGATGTGTGGATGGTGCTGCAAAGAAAGAAAACTGCCTTGGTTTTTCTATGGCAATCCCGATGCCATCCATGTCTTCCTCTCCATATGGCATGTATCAACCAGACCATGATGTCCTGACATTCCGTCGCAGCAACTGTGGCACGGGCTAGAGATGCATCCAGTGTCAGATGGTTTCTTGCGCGCTGAAGAGACTGAGAGTGAGCCAGTTTCAGACCTAGCTATCGCATGCTATCGCCAAGCACAGGCCTGACAAATCAGTGGTGATGTATTCAATGAAGGCTATACCGCTGACCGCATCCGAATCTTCTTTGATGGTACCTGGATTGATTGGTCCACAAGTTGGTGATCTGGCTGCATATGGCATCATATGCTGCTTCACTGCCGATATCTGACATGGAAATCACTGGAACCTCAGAACTTCAGATATTTCTGGGGGCTTGCTCAACCATGTTCAACCATGTTCAACCATCTTTCCCGTGATGATCTCGGCCGTTTTGTATGAGTGGCTCAACCACCAATCAGTATACTCCTTGGTTGCTGGCAAGATTCCTGCAGAAGATTCCCGGGAAACATCCCAATTTCATCCAATTTCTGCTTCATCACATCCCCCTTTTGAAGAGAATAATTACACGTCTTGATATACGACGCAGAACCTCAAACATTGCCATTTCCAAGAGAAATTGTACATCCGCCTAAAGGAGGGACCCAAGAATCATCCAAAACATTCCAAAACTAGACTATGTTGTACTATGTTATGATGTTTAAGACATGGTTTTTTAGGGTCCGCGCCCCTTTCAGGGAATCTCATTTACTATTCCATTTGTCCATTCTTATCCATCAAGTATCCATGAACTATCAGTTGATAATTATCGATGAATTATCCACTCATTATCCAGATTTATCATGTAATATCCTTCCACCACGTGTTTGTGTTACCATATCTTACCAGCCAAATACAGGTTTGACAAGAGCCCCGTCTTCTTTTTATGACGAAACATGTGGTGCCTGAAAGAGCTCAGCCCAGACTGCCAGGACATCCCAGCGCCCCCCCAGCTCCAGCGGACGGCGAAACGTGCCGGGCTGGATGCACAACATGTGCGCGAAAATGGCTCACCGTTGGCGTAAACGGATTGGGGTCCGGAGGTGATATATGTCTCATGAATTCTCCCAGTGGCAATTGTATTAATGGAGAAGATGAGATTCTGAACCACTGGACTTGGAGAGACCCAATTTTCAGAGAAACCAAACCTGTCAATGATCCATGACTATTTAATTGCCTCAGATGAAGGTGATGTTCCGTGCTTCTGGACAATTTTCACAGACTTCATGGCCGATTTCAGCATGAATCATATTGCACCCAGCAGGTCTTCATTGGGATTTATGTGCCCGTATTTTGGGGGAACATGTTTTTTTTGAAATCGTCGCCTCAAATAAAGCTCAAATTACATATGCTGTATATACGTATATCATATATATCATATAACTCTTAGTAACTGAGCCAGATATTTTGGATTCGGCCCCAATGAATCGATGGCTAGTGATGAGTAAAAATTCTGGTGGAGTCTCCAGATCAAGTCATGGCCCGCCAAGTCATGGCCCAAGGTGGCCAGTTACCTATTGTCTTGTGTAAAGTGAAGGATTTTGGGGGCCCCCATGGGGTCAGCATTTTCACTTATCCAACATCTGAAACAGTTAGCTCCATGTTGAGTTGGTGAACTTCTACAGTCGCCATAATCCTGGAGCTTGCGGATTATTGCGGCATATTCCATATCCCATATGGCCATCATATCCTCGTGGTTTCTTTGGTAAGTCAGCAATGCGGTTTTTTTCCAGGGTCGGTCACAGTGCTGTTGGCGATTTTGTGGGATGGTTGATGATTGGGTTTAGCGGCTAAGCGTACCACAATAGTTTGATTTATTGAAGGCCTGTCCTTAGTCTTAATTATTAGAGATTAAAAGAATATGGCTCCAACAATTACTGGGAATTATATATAATTATATATATATAGTTCCCCTGGCTCATAGCATTTCTATCTGTATGATTTACACCATGGTTTCATCCTGAAAAATCCGTGGTCTTTCCATTCGAGATGCCTATGGCATCAGTGTCCCAAGATGTCCCGCGTTGCGTCAGGACATCTTCAATGCCACTCTCACCCGACGCTTCTGCGAGAGGGCTGGGAGAGAAGGGGATAACCACATAATTCAGGACATGATAAGATATATATATATACATGTATATATATATATATACGAAGGTTTCCTAAAATTGGAGTACCCCAAAAAATCATTCATTAATAGGAATTCCAATTGAAACCATCCATATGTACATATCTGGTCATATCTGCATATTCATATATAAATATAGCCATGCTTAACACACACACACAGACACGGTAATGATGAACCAACCGTTCAACGGGATATAGCCAAGCTGGTCCATCCTGTTCATTCTGGGATGGCACATAAAAAATCACATGGCCGCATCACATCTGAGATGTGATGCGGCCTTTGGGGATATCTCATCTTAGAGCCACATGTTTTCTGTAAACTTCACAATTAATCTACTGTAACGGTTAGAAAGAAACTGCCCAAATTGCCCAATGTTGCAGGTCAAATTCCCATTCACTAATGGGGAACATCCCCATTTGTGGCCAACCCGGCTCACTCTGGCTGTTCAGGAGCATACTCCCATTGACTATAGGCATTCGGCAGGATGCTCTTGCATGCTATAGCTGCTATATCCCTCTTCATCCCCATTTTGGAGTATCCGAAAAACGTCGATTGCTCAAGGCCATCCCCAAGCAAAGAAACACATCCAAAACGCATCATCATCCCCAGCTCATTCATAATAAGTAAACCATCAGTAATGGTAATGGACGACCATCCCCAGTTCGGGTTTATTATCTGGTCCATTGTTTCTATGACTGGGATGATGCAAAATCACCCCCAAATGGTTTGTCCACAGAGAGAGAGAGAGTTCATGAAATCCCTATTTTTATAGATGGTGAATCTCCCATTCATATCATTCCCAATATATCCCCATTGTTGCTGGCCACCCCCATAGTTGCGTGTCCCACAAAAAGTCCCACTTGATATTCCCATAGTTTTGACCCATGCCCCACAGTTTCCACCACCAACGTCCTTAGGAAAACCTCCCTTGGACATGATGCCTTCGCAGCTGTCGGGCCGCTTGAGATGTTTGAAGAGCTTCTCCAGCACTTGGAGAAGTCTCAGGTTGGCCAAAAGAATAACGAGATCAAACCAAACATGAGTGCAATGTGGGGGCCCCAAATAGCTAAATTGATGTGTACTCGCAACTAGGTTAACTATGGCTTATGGTTGGTGTGTCTATACCTAATCAGATGGGGCTTCAAGCCAGCAAGCAATAACTGGGAGGCACCACATTGCGTGAACTAACCAAAAAAAGGAGGTTCCAAATCAACATTAGTTTGCCCAGATTAGTTGTTACACCCAGGCATTCATTTGTTCCATTTTGAGGTAATGGAATGATAACTCATTGCTGGTGTCAAATGCTCGCAATGCCCAGTGGGCATTCCCTGGTGGTTGATGGCAAGGGCTGGGGCACTAGGGTTATAACTATTAATTTACAGTTGTGATTTGAAGCAAGCCACAAATGATGAAAGGTATTGAAAGGTTGATGAATATCGAAGTTTAAATTTTTACACCGAGGGCTGGCATGTGCGCTGTTTCCAAGCAGATCACCATTGCCGCAAGAGCTTTCAAAGATGTCAAGGACATTCAGGGACCGTGCCAGCGTCGAATTTGGCACAGGTAGCTCGATTCAGACCAAGGCCAACCCTGGTCGGGCAAAACGCTAACTCTCAAGGCCTGCCACGTTTTGGCTCGGCATTTTGTCAAACCTGCCGCAAGGTCAGATTTGAGCGACCTCCTTGCTGCAATGTTGCTTGGCACATTTCAGGATGAGCGCTCAGAGCATTGGGTTGCTGCAGTTCGTTGAAATTCATTGGAAGCAGCCGCCAGGGTCATAGGATTAAGTACTCCAAAGATATCATGAAAGCAGCTTCAAGCATGTTTTGATGTTTCAGGTCAGGGTGTTAGCGCTATCATGCTGCAAACAAGTTCTTGGTGGAATAGCTGGCCCTCGGCGGGGTCAACGCTGAGGCTGACCAAAGATGTGACGCAACGCCCCACGGCATCGCAGGTGCTGGGGAAAGAATGGCCAGAAGCCTCAGCGGTATCCGTGGTAACGTTCCACGTCGGAATTCCACCAAGTGCCAAAGGATTTGTTCATGCTATTTCATGTTGCAGTCCGCCCCTAAAGCCTTTACACACATGGGTATGGATCAATACCTATTTTCATACCATTTTTAGGGGGATATTCACATCCATTTTAACCCAGCTATGACTTGATGTGAACAAAAAAGGGGTACTATTGGTTTTGACACACTGCTGAGTCCATCGTCCATGATGTTTGAATACTTTGGGCTTTGAAAGGTTGGGATGGCCGGCTTCAGTGGCCTCCTGGTCAAACAGAAATTTCATGAAATTTCGCCTTTTGTTTTGGCACCATGGGTCATTAAATGTCCCCATTTTTCACATCACCCAACCATGAATGGTATATGGTATATAATGGCTACTATGGTTGGTGATGTCCAATATTCCCAAAATGGGACATTTAATGACCCATGTTTACATGGATGCATCCACTTGATAAAATATGTCTATCCAATTCGGTTATTCGCTGCTGTCTACGTTTGTTGGTATCCTACTTGCTCGCGACTTGACCTGCAATGATCTTGTGTTGGTCGCGGAAGTCATTGACCAATTCGAGGTTTGACAGTGTTGCAACTCCATCAAAGAAGGGCAGGCGACGGGCGCATGCGCCAGAAGTGTGGTTTCGCGTTTTGGGGCAACAGATTATCCGTTCCTTTTCCATGGTTTGTTGATTTGTAGCGGTTGCTGCAACCAGGTTCCCTTCTGAATGTTGAAGACTGGTTCAACCACCACAACCACAACACTTGCCATGCCGTTTTTTGTTTCGGACATATTTGATTGATACTGTTCCTAGGGTTTGTATCGTGTTTGGGCAGGGTCTGCCGCGATTGTTCCTTGACCAAGAATTGGTATTTGGGGTTCATCAGCGCATCAGAGATTATTGTTGCACGACCAAACATCCCCAATGAACATACACAAGTGAACAAATTTGTTTTTTGTCGATGTGAATTATCAACTGTGTTTGTGATTTGTTGTTGCAAATATTCAGATTCACTTTCTTTTGCGGTTGTTCGTTTCGTACCGACCATCCAGAGGTTTGGTTTTAAAAGCGGTTCATTCGCACCTCAAAACAGAATGGTTTCGTCTATATAAACTATTCAGAGTAAGAGTAAAACTATTAAGACTTATTAAGAGTTCGAGTATTTTAAAAGATCTTTAAAAAAAACTGTTTCACTTGCGCCCAAAAAAGGGCTTGAATTTCAGATCTCCGAATGACCAGCCTCAAAGTATCTGTCGATGCGGCATCGGCAATGGGTCGCTGTTTTGGTGGCCGTTCTCTCCTCTGCCCATCTGGATGTCGAAGCAGATTTTGCGCTGACACTGGGCTGATATGACCGCGGTTGGAGGCCATGGGATTGGGGTTTACCATGGTTTACCCGAAGAAAAATGCTGTATCAGCATGTTTTTCGATGTGTTTGAAATGGGTTAGAAAGCCGCTGGGTGTAACATGGTGTGTTTTTTTTCGCAAAAAAGTCCTGTGGTTGATGATTTTGACCCATATCTAACTGATGTTGTGTCTAAAAATAGGGGATTAAGATGGATTAAGCCCATCATACTGGAAAATGCCCTAATCAAATGACCAGTGGACATATTTTGATAAGAATTCTGCCCATTTTGTTTGGTTGACTTTTCAGGAATTAGACTTGGGACAGATGGATTGCGTAAAACCTTGGGGTCATCCCAGCTGGAGATTGCTGTTGAACCCAAACACCTCGTTGAAAGCCCAGGCGAAAGCCAAAATAAATCATGGTATGTACATAATGGTCTTTCTATTTTTGGTATTTCATGGTATGTACATAATGGATCATAATTGGTATTATGGGGGAATACCAAATAATCTATACCAAATACCCTCTGGTTATTTAACATAGCCATGGAAAATCACCATTTTTAATAGGTAAACCATCTATAAATGGGCCATGTTCCATGGCTATGTTAAATAACCAGAGGGTAATGGTTTTGAATTTTGACAGACTTGGACCCGGCCAGGCCGGATGCCCCCGACTCCGGTAACTTGCGTGTTTTACGGTCTCCTTTTGAGCCAGGGACTCTGGCCTGTCGGAATCGACCGCCTTCAATAGGATTACCCTCTGGTAAACTAACATAACTGTAGAAAATGGCCATAGAAATAGTGGATTTAGCCATTAAAAATTGTGATTTTCCATAGCTATGTTAGTTTACCAGAGGTTTAATGGATGAATCACCATTCTATCAATTGATTCTTCTCAATGGATTCATCATGCATATAAATGAACATATCTGCCTATGGTGGAAATTTCGATCAACATCGGGTATTTTCTCATGGATGTACCTGGCCTTTGATTGCAAAAGTGGTTCACCCTCCAAAAGCATCAAATTCTGTCATTTAAGGATACCCTCTGGTAAACTAACATAGCTATTGAAAATGGCAGTTTATAGTGGATTTACCGATTAAAAATGGTGATTTTCCATAGTTATGTTAAATTGCCAGAGGGTAGATGTATAATGATGTATATAAGTTATATAAGGCCCAAAAATACCCATCATATATATAGAACCCTACCAAAAATATGGTGGAATCGGATGAAAAACATCTGCGACACAGCCTCCCAGGACCAAAGAACTTTGGGCCCTCATGGGACGAGAGCAGCAGTGGCCCAAGGGTGACAGGGTCAATGCCCCACAGCAGTGCCTGGGCAAAAATGTTATGTTTGTGTGGATGAAAAGGATGACCATCCAGCATCATCCTGTTTTATTTTGATGAAACTCTGTGGAAACCTCAGGACCTACTGTTGATGGAAGAAATCCTGCACCGCCTTGGATGGTTGAAACCCTACAAATAATGGGATAAACCACCTATCAACTGGTGTAGGATTTCTTCCATCCACAGTAGTAGTCAAGGGATGTCAAGGGTTTTGACATGGTTCGACTTTGACCCAGGACCCACCCAAATCAGTCATGAACCTATTACTGAGGGTTATAGCCAGCAGCACCGTAGTGGTAGGTTGATGGAAGAGTTCGGAATCTGAGTTTGTATGAAACCAGGTTACCCCTAAATCAATTGGTTGATCACCTGCTTCCCTATCTGATCAGGGTACCACATGGCCATTTTGGGATATTCCCCCATTTGTTGGTCAACCGGGGCCTTGATGCTTCGGGCAGCTCCGGGTCCAAGAATGACAATCCCTGCTGTTTGGAGAGCGAAATGTTGGCCAATCAATCCCGAATTTTTGGGGGTAGAAGGGGGTGATGTTGGAATATCGTTTCCAGGTCTTTCTGGGGCTGGTATGAAACCAACACTAGATATCCAACCGGCCTCCAAGAAAATACACCACATATATGTGATCTCTGAAATTTCAAGACCTTTGGCACTCTGGAAATGTGCAATAATACGAAACCCAAACAAGCCCCTTTATCCGACAACTTTTTTGGGGGTGTCCACGGACATGCTCAGATGTTTGCTCCTTTCGGAGACTTTTTGTTGGCAAGACTCGATTCTTCAATGTTGCAATGCCAACAGTTGGTCAAATCTAGGCAAAGTCATCATAAATGACGTCTCAGTTTTTGCCGGTAAAATCAGGACTGGTGAAAACAGCATCCAAAAATATGTTTGCTCTTTTTGCAGATCACAAACAGTTTGTGCCAAACGAATCCCAAACCTTTGGGAGTTTTTGGATGCAAAAGTTCCAGACTTTTTGGATGGTCAACTCCCCAGAAATTCTCTGATCTGCAGGGAGTTGTGGCAGCAATGGCTGTCATGTCGCGAGCCTCTCATGCTGCGCGAGAATCGGTGCCTTGGCAGACCGAACTGATTGGTGAAACGATTGAAACTGGAGACCGAACAACATTGTATCACCACCCAAGATGAAATCTTGGCTGTTGATTCCTTCAACAACTTTCTGATGGAAGGGCTTCGAGGTAAAAATTGCTAGAAAAATTGACTATGCTGATACTGCGTCTGAAGTCAAGTGTTCCGGCGCTCATTTTTGGGAAGAGGTCTATGGCGAGATATTTATTTATATCAAAGAAAGGCCTACTTCTTCGAGCCACAAACAAGCTAACTAATCTAGGGCAATGGTAAAAGATGGGGAACTACCCCATTTTCCAAAACGAAGATATGGAAATCCGTTGTTCGTAGCCTGGGAAAATATGATCGAAGTGTCGGACCCCAAAACTAGATGGTTTCATCATGATACAAACATGACCAGACTTGTGTGTTCCAATGTTGCTTTCATGACTTGGCTGTACCCAAATGAGGCTTGAACTCACAAAAGCGGAATGCCACTTTCGAAATGTTGGATCTCGTACAACAAAATCGGGTGGAACCATGGGGAGTTCAGGAAGAAATCAAGTGTAAATTCTTGAATATGTGTGCTGAGTTGTTTTGGCCCGGCTCATGTTATCAAGATGCACGTTTGCAGCAAACACCAGCAACTGGTCAAAAAAATATGCAATGATAGATATGGAAATGCATCAGACAGAGCTGGGAGCTCCCTTTTCTTGGTGTATTTCCTACAATGTGGTCGTTTACGAAACTTGGAAGTCGATCTTTACGAAACAGAGGGGGATATATTCAGAACCCGTGCCTCATGGCCCACAAGAGACACAGCTGGCTTAAACCTCGAATGATGATAACAACTGGTTGGTGGATTGGAACATGTTTTTTGCATATATTGGGAATAAACATCCCAACTGACTTTCATATTTTTCAGAGGGGTAGGTATACCACCAACCAGTAACAAGATATCACAAGTTTGTCGCTCAACTTGACTTGTTTTTTTGTTTGGTGTCTCTAAAGTCGATTTGTCTTTGTTTGGCCGTATAAAAATGTTTTGTCTGGATAAGATGTGGATCACTGTCATTGTCCATATCTGGTCCCTGTCAGATGGGGATCCAGCAATTGGATCATCCCACGAAGCGTGAATCGCAAAGAATTAGATTACCCTCTGGTTATGACTAACAGTTCGCCATGGTATAGATGGTCCCGTGTCCCGTGTTCCCACCCCCCCCCATGGGATGGGGGGGGGGTATGATGCCCCTGTGGTGGTGTATATACATATATACATACATACCTACATACCTACCTACCTACCTACATACATACATACACACATACACACATACACACACACACAGACATACCTACCTACCTACCTACCTACCTACCTACGTACCTACGTACCTACGTACACACGTACCTACGTACCTACGTACCTACGTACATACGTACATACATACATGCATGCATGCATGCATGCATACATCCATACACCCATACATCCATACATCCATACATCCATACATCCATACATCCATACATCCATCCATCCATACATACATACCTACCTACATACCTACATACCTACATACCTACATACCTACATACCTACATACCTACATACCAACATACCTACATACCTACATACCTACATACCTACATACCAACATACCAACATACCACCACCGCAGGCCACAGCGGGGGTGGACCAGAAGAACCATACCACCACCACAGGCCACAGGGGGGGGGGGACCAGAAGAACCAGACGATACTGTCCACCCATACCCATTGGTGGGGGGGGGGGAGGGGGGCTGGCCAACGCTGCACCATAGATGGCCCATAGAAATAGATGGTTTACCTATTAATGGTGATTTTCCATGGCTATGTTAGTCATAACCAGATGGTAGATTACCTGATGACCTTCAAGTTACTTCAAGGGTTGGCATGGTGCACATTTAAAATGGGACAACCCCGGCCCCCTGGGCCCCCAACCCCCATCGGCAGGACGCGTACTGCAATGCGTCGTGTGCACGTGAGTTTCATGGAGTGGCTCCTTGGACTAGGTTCCCAGGAGTCAAATGGGTAGTTTTTTTACCACTAAAAGTAGGAGTTTCATGGGAGAGAAATTGAGATTTGACCCATGAAAATTTAGGAATGACTTGTCAATGATAGTAGCAATGTTGATACGGTAATGCCATTTTTTACCTACGGTAATGCCTGGCAGGAAGCAAGCAGAAGCCACATGTCCAAACCTGGCGTTGATCGAAATTTTAACATTTTTTGGGCGCCCAATCATTCTTGATTCAAACCCAAATCATCCCAAAGATATAGTCTCAATATCTCTCAATGAAATCTCCATGTTTCTTGCTAAAACCATGTCAAAACCTTTATTTTTGTCACTGAAGTCTCCCTATCTAAACCCCTATCTTTGCTGTTGACATCTCCCGGAAGGTTAGTGCGCCATCATCGCAACCACCCACGGCGGCCGCAACTGGCGGCACCTTGGCTGAGCATGGCAAAAATGGCCAGTTCACTTCACCATCGAAAAGGGAGATGTTGCCAAGAAAATGGAGATTTAATGTGTCCGAAGTAGGAATGTTCGTGGATATTGTGATATATATATATATATAATCATATATATATACATTATATATATACATTATATACATATATATATATATATGTACATTATATAATATATATATATATATTATATAATTATATATATAATCATATATATATAGACATTATATATATAGACATTATATTATATATATATCAATGGATTTTGAGCGTCAAAACTTGGATCTCAACCTCAACACTCGTCCCAGTTGGGTTGTCGTTGATGGATGGTTCCCCCCGTCGTTGGGTCCAAATGCCACCATTTTATGGGCGTGTGTCTGAAAATGGAAATTTGGGCCCCCCGAAATGGACAGTTTTGGAAAGTTTTGATAGGGAAGATGATGATGGTCCATGCAAAAACAAAAACAAAATGAGGTACTGTACCCTATTTTCATTAAAAACAAAACTGAAATGGTGTTGACTTTTCTGATTCCTACTTGGTATGACCATGTTGACAATATGTTGATGCCCATAACCTGGGTTTTTGTCCTGCAAGTCCTTTGATTCTGGCCACCAAAACACACATATATCACTGGTTGGTGGTTTGGAACATGTTTTATTTTCCCATATTTTTATTGGGAATAATCATCCCAACTGACTTTCATATTTTTCAGAGGGGTTGGTATACCACCAACCAGATCAAGTCGAAGTGCACCGCAAGGCCCAAGGAACTCCATTGAGCCATGGATTTCCCAGCCCTCGCTCAACTTAAGGCGGCCATTGGAGAGAGAGAGATTGCTTCGTTTAGGCCGGGTTGTCATATGGATGTTCCAAGAATGGGGTTGTTCTCCACCCCAAGTGCTGGCCACTTTCGGTCATCTTTTCAAATGCTCCCTCCATCCAGAATCAGATCTTAATAGTTTTTGAACAGATAATTACATTTTATATATCCCATGACGGATCCATGTATGGTTATGCTAACATTGGGGGTATATTGATGGGATCCATGTTACCATATATAGCAGCACCATGGATCCTATGGGTATATATATATATATACACATCCATTCTTACATACGATTTGATTACCCTCTGGTAAACCAACAGTTTGCTATTGAAAATGGCCCAGTCGAAATAGTGGATTTACCCAGCTATAAAATAGTGATTTTCCATAGCTATGTTAAATTACCAGAGGGTATATCTACTTTATGTATGGTGAATCCGTTGTCCTGCCCAGGCCTTGTCGCTCACCCGCGACAATGGAGTGAAGTCTTGAACGCTGCTGGGCGAGAAAGTGGATCTGTCTGTACCGAAGGGTACCCCCAAATCTCATGGTGAATCATCATAATCATCATTTTCCCAGTATATGGCCATCAATGGCCAAGACTGGGGAGTATACTCCATGTTCATCCAAAAATGCACACCCAAATTGATGGGTGGTTCACCCCAGGAATCGTAAGTCCCTAGGAATCGCAAGCCATTCCTGGGTTTACAACTTATAATTCGCTTTCTAACTGGGGGAGAACCACCAAGAATGTATCTCGAAACATCCAATTTGGATGAATTATTGTAATTATGTAAGCCAGATCGATAAACCCTGGCGGACTACTTGCCCGGATTACCCCAAAAAGGTAAAAATGATCAGTTGAAGGACCCAGGGGTCAACATTCATCCGGGATAAGATGAAACCTGTCCCCAAAATTCAACGATGGCGGTAGTTCCTTGTTGGAAAATATGAGGATGTTTGATCGTCAATGGTCCAATGGTTATTATATGTTATTATCACCCCCAAATTGGCCCCAAAAATGATAATTAAACCCAAATCTATACACTGGGGATGCGCTGCAGTGCACGCGGTTGTGGGGTGGCGGCGGCGGTGGGAGGCTTCGAGCAAGCAAAACAAAGGGTGTCAGCAGAGACTCAGGAGAGAACCAGCAAAAGCAGAGGGATGAATCATCAACAAGTTGCAATTGAACAAACAAAAAGGCGTTAAGCTAGCAACATGGCCATGTGTTGCCAGTCATGTGTGGGTTCTTTCACCCCGCTTACACCAGGTAAATGGTAACATCATGTAACATCATTCCACCAGCAACTGGCAATTTGGCCTGTGATGACACAGTTAACTGTTGAATGTCCACCGGCGTCATCAGCTGGGGGGGTTCCACGATCGCAAGAATGAACCATCCTTGAATTCATGGAAAGCATTGAACATAGATACAGACATAGATATACTACCCATATATATATATACATATATCATAAATCCATAATTATAATATCTATATATATATATACACCATAAATCCATGTAAATCCGAGCCATCATGGTTAACCAACTTGGCTTTCCGGAGCTAAGGAGCAGCTGAGTTCCTTTGCACTGCTGGACCCAAAGTTAGAGCCAATTCCTTGGCCAGGCGCGTGAAATCCCAGGAGGTTTACCCAAGAAAAGTTGATGGGTTACCCAACAGAATGTGGGATTTTCCTAGCAAAAGTGATGGCGTTGCCCAACAGAAACTGAGAGTTGCCAAGCACAAGTGATGGTTTACCCAACAGAACGTGGGATCTTCCTAGCAAAAATGATGGCGTTACCCAACAGAAACTGAGAGTTGCCAAGAAAAGTTGATGGTTTACCCAACAGAATGTGGGATTTTCCTAGCAAAAATGATGGCGTTACCCAACAGAACTGAGAGTTGCCAAGCACAAGTGATGGTTTACCCAACAGAACGTGGGATTTGCCTAGCAAAAATGATGGCTTACCCATCAGAAACTGAGAGTTGCCAAGAAAAGTTGATGGTTTACCCAACAGAACGTGGGATTTGCCTAGCAAAAATGATGGCGTTACCCAACAGAACTGAGAGTTGCCAAGCACAAGTGATGGTTTACCCAACAGAACGTGGGATTTGCCTAGCAAAAATGATGGCGTTACCCAACAGAAACTGAGAGTTGCCAAGAAAAGTTGATGGTTTACCCAACAGAACGTGGGATTTGCTTAGCAAAAATGATGGCTTACCCAACAGAAACTGAGAGTTGCCAACAAAAGTTGATGGTTTACCCAACAGAACGTGGGATTTGCCTAGCAAAAATGATGGCTTACCCAACAGAAACTGAGAGTTGCCAAGAAAAGTTGATGGTTTACCCAACAGAATGTGGGATTTTCCTAGCAAAAATGATGGCGTTACCCAACAGAAACTGAGAGTTGCCAAGCACAAGTGATGGTTTACCCAACAGAACGTGGGATTTGCCTAGCAAAAATGATGGCTTACCCAACAGAAACTGAGAGTTGCCAAGCACAAGTGATGGTTTACCCAACAGAATGTGGGATTTTCCTAGCAAAAATGATGGCGTTACCCAACAGAAACTGAGAGTTGCCAAGCACAAGTGATGGTTTACCCAACAGAACGTGGGATTTGCCTAGCAAAAATGATGGCTTACCCAACAGAAACTGAGAGTTGCCAAGAAAAGTTGATGGTTTACCCAACAGAATGTGGGATTTTCCTAGCAAAAATGATGGCGTTACCCAACAGAAACTGAGAGTTGCCAAGCACAAGTGATGGTTTACCCAACAGAACGTGGGATTTGCCTAGCAAAAATGATGGCTTACCCAACAGAAACTGAGAGTTGCCAAGAAAAGTTGATGGTTTACCCAGCAGAATGTGGGATTTTCCTAGCAAAAATGATGGCGTTACCCAACAGAAACTGAGAGTTGCCAAGCACAAGTGATGGTCTACCCAACAGAACGTGGGATTTGCCTAGCAAAAATGATGGCTTACCCAACAGAAACTGAGAGTTGCCAAGAAAAGTTGATGGTTTACCCAGCAGAATGTGGGATTTTCCTAGCAAAAATGATGGCTTTACCCAACAGAAACTGAGAGTTGCCAAGCACAAGTGATGGTTTACCCAACAGAACGTGGGATTTGCCTAGCAAAAATGATGGCTTACCCAGTAGAAACTGAGAGTTGCCAAGCAGAAGTGATGGTTTACCCAGCAGAATGTGGGATTTTCCTAGCAAAAATGATGGCGTTACCCAACAGAAACTGAGAGTTGCCAAGCAGAAGTGATGGTTTACCCAGCAGAATGCGGGATTTTCCTAGCAAAAATGATGGCGTTACCCAACAGAAACTGAGAGTTGCCAAGAAAAGTTGATGGGTTACCCAACAGAATGTGGGATTTTCCTAGCAAAAGTGATGGCGTTGCCCAACAGAAACTGAGAGTTGCCAAGCACAAGTGATGGTTTACCCAACAGAACGTGGGATTTTCCTAGCAAAAATGATGGCGTTACCCAACAGAAACTGAGAGTTGCCAAGAAAAGTTGATGGTTTACCCAACAGAACGTGGGATTTGCCTAGCAAAAATGATGGCTTACCGAACAGAAACTGAGAGTTGCCAAGCACAAGTGATGGTTTACCCAACAGAACGTGGGATTTGCCTAGCAAAAATGATGGCGTTACCCAACAGAAACTGAGAGTTGCCAAGAAAAGTTGATGGTTTACCCAACAGAATGCCTAGCAAAAATGATGGCGTTACCCAACAGAAACTGAGAGTTGCCAAGCACAAGTGATGGTTTACCCAACAGAACGTGGGATTTGCCTAGCAAAAATGATGGCTTACCCAACAGAAACTGAGAGTTGCCAAGCACAAGTGATGGTTTACCCAACAGAACGTGGTATTTTCCTAGCAAAAATGATGGCTTACCCAACAGAAACTGAGAGTTGCCAAGCACAAGTGATGGTTTACCCAACAGAACGTGAGATTTGCCTAGCAAAAATGATGGCTTACCGAACAGAAACTGAGAGTTGCCAAGCACAAGTGATGGTTTACCCAGCAGAATGTGGGATTTTCCTAGCAAAAATGATGGCTTATCCAACAGAAACTGAGAGTTGCCAAGCACAAGTGATGGTTTACCCAACAGAACGTGGGATTTGCCTAGCAAAAATGATGGCTTACCCAACAGAAAAAGATCGGTTCAATCTGCGAGAATGTATAATCAAGTGGTTTTGACAACATAATAATCTCAGCATAAGAATTAGTGGGGTCAATCATCTCAAGTTGTTTGAACCACTTGCGAGATGGTTCAAACTGTTCCAAACATGGGTGACTTTGGCATACAAGCCCTGGCATTTTTACAAGCACTCAGTAGGACCAAGTCGGGATCCAACCTGCTGGTCTTGATATCCATGGACGCAGGGACAGCTTAATCGCCTCAATGATCTTCCAAGAATATGTGTGTCTGAAGATGGGGTACTGTACGCTAAATTTGATGGTTGATCATCCATTTCCCTGCAGGGTTTACTGGCATACCCCATTGTGAAGTTTGGAACACCCAGATGGGATGGCAATCTATAGCCCTGAGATACCTCATCCACCGGATTCACCATTGGTCATCAGAGAATTTCTAAAGGCGATGGGGGAATGAGAATTCTACAATCCAATAGGTAAAAACATGGGTAAAACATGGGTAAAACATGAGTAATCCAATAGCAGTCAGTAATTTTGTCTCGGGTAAAAACATGGGTCGTGGAAATCTGTCATGTGGACATCAATTTTTTGATGGGCAGATGGTGGTCCGTTGGCCGCAGGTGTAGCAAGTGCCTTGCAATGGCTGGAAGGAAATTTTACGGTCCCTTGGAATCGTTCAAAGCTCTTCTGATTCTACGAGAAGGGTTACAAGTCACCATGCGTAAAGGGTTTATAGGTCGCCATTGAAAACGGTTGTTAGATGATGTTAGATGTTATAAATATATGTATAAGTCACATATTCGGACTGGCCTTGCCCCAAGCGACCTCGAAGCAGGGGTTATTCAGAAGCTGGTCCAGAGGGATGGCCGAAACCCTTGTGGTTCGAGGATACCCTCTGGTAATTTAACATAGCCATGGTATAGATGGCCCCGTTATAGATGGTTTACCTATTAAAAATGGTGATTTTCCATGGCTATGTTAAATAACCAGATGGTAGTTTGTACAGGTCTGAAAGAGGCAAGGTGGATTTGTCTCACCATGGAGAAAGCCTTTACCCTTGGACAAACCCTCCACTTGTCTGATGCTCCTGGATGTGCATCCCCACATCATTCTACATCGTGGTTAGATAACCTAAACGTAAACATATCTAAACATACCTAATCATACCTAAACCATACATATACCATATGCACAATAGTTATATATAATATATAATATATATAATATTATATATTATATATATAACTGAACCCATTTATCTAGGGCATTTCATTTGGCTACCGTTCACAAACGTCTGCCGAACGCCGAGGCT